CTCCCGGCCACCGCAGCCTCGACCTGCTGGGCTCCAGCGAGCCTTCCGTCTCAGCCTTCTGAGTAGCTGAAATGACAGGCGCGCGCTACCACGCCTGGCTGATTTTTTGATTTATTGTAGAGATGTGGTCTCGCCAAGTTGCCCAGGCAGGTCTTGAACCCGTGGGCTCAGGCAGTCCACTCACCTCAGCCTCCCAAAGGCGTGGAATTACAGGCTGAGCCACCGAGCCCGGCTAGTCCTTTATTTTTTAAGGGTCTATGATCCTTTTGACATCACTCTAGAAAAGCACACATAACCACTGCACAATTTTATTGGCAATTTCAGGGCTACCCAGTATACCCACGGCCTGTCCTATGTTTGGACTGAGAACTCCTACCTAGAAGTAAATAACAGGCGGCCCTGTCAATGGCGTCATCCATCCTGCCCCGTGGGTCTCTCTGCTATGGCATCCATAGCTCACCTGTAATTTGCATAAACTCCAGGACAATAGAAGAGTGCTGTGAAGACACTCCTGTCTCTACAGATGGTGTCCAAGGTCAACGTGATCCCATATACGGAGGTGAGCAAGAAGATCAGAAGGGCAAGTATAAATGCTTGATGATTGGATTCTCCAACGCAGCTATTTATCCTCAAAACAGCAGAGAGGAGAAAAGAGCAAACACCTTTTAAAAAGTTTTCTGTGTAACTCACATAATAAACAAGAAAGCTTTTAAAATAAGAACTGTGTGAACTTCAGTTAGTGAAAAGTAAGTTCCTTATTTTTTTAATTTTAGGGAATTAAAAACTTGTCCACTGAGGAATACAGTCTTATACTCCCTGCTTTTTGCAAAGTGGAATCACATTATTAGTAAAGGACAAGACTAAGTAAAAAGCAGAACCTGGCTAACAAATCTTCCTAAATATTAATAAGTGAGGTCTATGACCCAGCTACAAAGGAGGCTAATGCGGTTCTCACCGTGCTCAGGAAAGAGAGATAAAAACTTAGACATGACCGATCAGAGGCATTACACAGTGTGGGGAAATATAGGTTAGATATATAAAGAGTAATAAAAAGGTCCAAAGAGGTTAGAAACATGGTGTGGGGTAGAGAATGACTTTCTAACATGCAGGCAAAAACAGTTCTGTGCCATTGGAGGGCAGGATGTGCAGGCAGTCCCTTCTGCCCCCTGGGTACCAAGATGCTCAGGTGGGCAGAGGAGAGCTGCTGTCGGTGAGTCTGTCCGGCCCTGGGCAAACCAGCATTTGTAAATGGGACGGATGTGGACACAAACAGGAATAAATGATGAGGACGCAGAACTGCAATATCTAAAGACAAAGTATCAGAAAAGAGCTGTCCCTATACTCAAGCCATGCACTTGAGGTCCCCTCCTATGTCCCCTTCTGAGGGGAAGCTGTGCTACATCACCAGAATCCTAGCCATAGGAAGCACAATTCATTGACACGACTGCCTGAAGAACAAGAAACTCACAAGCATGCCACTTACAGCATTCACATCTGAATTAATTATACTCCTTTTGGTTTAGATTTACTCAGTGAAGCTGCCACATTATCTTGAAATGTCGCACTTTATATCTTATGGGTCTTTGTGTCCTCCTTTGTCAATGGCCGGCTGGGAGGTACAAAAGAAGCCTGTCTCTCTGCAACTAACCAAACAGCTTATCGGGTAGGGCCTCAACTCAATAATGTTAAGTGGAAATCACTGGTGGCATCAAGAATGATCAAGTACGCATGGCAAGAGGACAAAAGAGTCACCTAAAAATAGGAGCATGCCTTTTGGGGCTCTATGTTCAAAAGGAAGAGCACAGAGAAATATGCCTATCCCAATTCTGATAAATTCTTTCTTAAAAGAACAATAATTTAACTGTAGGTACTCCTCTATTAGGAAGGAAAAGATAGCCAGGCGCGGTGGCTCAAGCCTGTCATCCCAGCACTTTGGGAGGCAGAGGCGAGAAAATTGCCTGAGTTCAGGTTCAAGACCAGCCTGGGCAACATGGCAAGACCTCATCTCTACAATAAGTCAAAAAATCAGCCGGGTGTAGTAGCACGCGCCTGTGGTTCCAGCTGTTTGGAAGGCTGAGGCAGAAGGATGGCCTGACCCCAGCAGGTTAGGGCTGAGGTGACCGTGAGTGAGCTACTGCACTCCAGCCCGGGCAACAGTGTGAGACTCCAACTCAAAAAAAAAAAAAGAGAGAAGATAAATGAAGACCAGTTGAAAAGAAAATCACACACACACACACACACACACACACACACACACACACACCACAAAAAGACCAAACAAACAAAGCCCCACAACTTTTCTGTTATTCTCCTTCAGGAAATGACTGAAGAAACTAAATTGGTGAAACTCGAAAAAGTGATGACTAAGTGGGAACATCTTAGCCTACAAATATCTACAAGGTGTAAAGCTGGGAGGGAGAGAAGGAGAGAAATCTTAGGAGAGCACAGGGAAAGACCAAATATGGTTAGAGAGTTTTACAGGAATTTACGCTTTCCAAGTCTCCAAATTTTTCCAACATACCAGACACAATGATGATCCATTCGCCTTACACAGATGCCACATATCCGGCAGTGCCATGCCCGGGCTGGTCGCACCAGCTGGCACTTGGCACACCAGTCCTCCTTCGCCTTGGTGGGACTTCCAGCTGACATCCTAGAAGGGCCCTTCAGATCATCCTTCGGCGTACGATTGTTGAGACTGCCCGACGTGTCTGCCCCGGGGAACCCTTTGGTCTTCCCCTGCCCTTTTCTGTTCAGGCATTCAGTCTGGCTGCTGCCTGGGGACTCATCGCTGCTTGCTGGATTGCTGAGGTAGCCTGGATTCTTCTTGGCTCTGTACAAGGCTAAGAGTATCAGAAATAACCCGAAGGTAAGAACAGCCAGCTGAATGGGTCCCACATGCCCTTGCGGGACCACTTCCTGCAGAAACACATAGTACATGTAACCCAGTGAGAACAGACCCAGGCTCAGGAAAAACAGAGTCTGTTCTTTCCTTCTGTGAGTGAGGTAGTAGTACCACAGTGCCAGCACAGGAAGGGAGGTCAAAACCACCAGCCCCAGGAGGAAATGCCAGGAAGCCACGTGAAGGAAGACAGGCAGGAGGACGAGTGGCGGGACGATGCTGATGTTGACTTTCCTGGCTCCCCGAAGCCAAGGAATCCGGAGGCGATCGGAAATGGTGTCCATGATTCTTTCACAAGTCTCTGGCTGCACAGACTTACAGGTAACCCATCTATTCAGAAAAGGCACAGAGAGAAGGGACATCATATGGGTTTGCTGAGTGTCAAAAACCACAGAACGGTGAATGCCAAACAGTGGATAAATGAGACAAGAGACCAGAGGGCAAGCATCTTCCTTCCTTCCTTCCCACTCAACACAAGATTTTCAGACTCACATATCATTTGTTAAGTAGCAACGGGATAATGTTTAGAAACTTCACAGTCAAGATTATTTCTCCATTGAACAAATACACAGGTATAGACACATACTTCATACACGTCCTATTGAGACCGTGTGACCTGCATAGCCAGAAGAATCTCAAAAAAGTTCACAATCTAGTGAAGACAACATGAGAATTCAAGATATGTTAGGGCTGGGCGCGGTGGCTCAAGCCTGTAATCCCAGCACTTTGGGAGGCTGAGGTGAAGGGATTGCCTGAGTCCACAGGTTCGAGAACAGCCTGGGCAACTTGGCAAGACTGCATCTCTACAATCAATCAGTCAATCAATCAATAGCTGGGCGTGGTAGCACACGCCTGTAGTTCCAGCTACTTGGAAGGCTAAGGCCGAAGGATAGCCTGAGCCTAACTAGGAGGTTGATGCTGGGGTGGCCATGAGTGTGCCACTGCACTCCAGCCTGGGCGACAGAGTGAGACTCCAACTCACTCACACACACACACACACACACACACACACACACACAAAGTTAGGATACCGGCAAAGCAGCAATAACCAACAAACTCTTATGATCAAATGTTATAAGGAGTGCTCAGAGCAAAGTCAATACTTTTGGGTGGAGTCATCAGAGGGGTCTTTGTGGAAAAGATGGGTTCTGTGCTTGACTCTGATGGCCAGCTAGCATTTGTATGACTGCAGAGGAAGGAAAGGAGGCTTTCTAGTAGAAAGAAATGGGTATAGCACAAAACCAGGCCTGGGTCAAGGGAATAAACCAGTCTAGCATGGACTGGGGTCAGCATTAGGAAGAATGGAGATCAGGAGAGTATGAGTGAAATGACTGAGCTTGGTGAACAGAATAGTATTTGTTGACATCTTTGCACACTTAGGCTATGCTACGTTCTAAATGTTTGTGTCTCCCTAAATTTATTTGTTGAAACCTAATCCCCAATGCAACAGTAATAAGGAGGGCCTTCAGAAGGCAATTAGGTGGAATTAGGCCTTTATAAAAGAGGCCTAAGAGAGCTTCTTCACCCCTTTCACCATGTGAGAACACAGCAATAAAGTACCATCTAAAAAGAGGGTGAGCTCTCATCAGATACTGAAACCGCGGATGGCCTTGATCTTAGACTTTCCAGGTTCCAGAACTATGAGCGATAAATTTCTGTCATTTCTAATTACTCAATTTAAGGTATTTGGTTATAGCAGCCCAAACAGACTAAGGCAGAAATTAGTACTGAGAAGGGAGGTGTTGCTATAACAAATATCTAAAAAGATGGAAGCAACTGTGGAATCGAGTGATGGACAGAGGCTAGAAGAGTTTTGAAGTGCATGCTGGGAAAAAGCCTATACTGTTGTGAACAGTATAAAGGGTGATTCTGGCAAGGGCTCATAAGTGAAGAGCTATGGTGAAAGTCTCAATCTTACAGATCATCTAAGAGGTCATGAGCAGAATGTTGGTAGAAATATGGACAATATGGAAGAAAGGCGATCCTTGCTATCAGTGGCAAAGAACTTAGCTCAATTGTGTTTGTGTCCTAGTGCTTTATAGAAGGCAGAACTCAAGAGCAATAAAATGTTTTTGCAGAAGCAAAGTGTTTAGGGTGCTGCATGGCTTCTCTTGACTGCTTGTGGTAAAATGCAAGAAGTTATTTAAAGACACAACTCATAATCAAAGGGAAGCAGAACTTAAAGATCTGGGAAATTCTCAGCCTGTCTATATTACAACAAATGAGACTATGGTTTAGGGGAGAAAGGCAAGCATGTGTATGGGTAGTAAGAAGGACACTACCCTTCCTCCCTGCACTGTTTGATGGAAGAATAGCCCTGAAGACATTTTGGAGATCCCTGGAGCTACTTTTCCCATTACGAGCCTCAAGTGCCAGGGCCCTGAGGACAGAATGGTTTTATAAAAGCAGCCCAAGGCACCCATGGGATCTTAGGCTTGCTGCCAAGCACCACATCAAGTCTCTGCTCCCTACATTCTGACACAGCACACCATAGCAGCTCCAGGTGTGGCTTCAGTGGGTCCAGGTATGGTGTGGGCCACAGTGACCCCGCCGGACACAGGTGGTAAACCTTTATGACTCTATATGGGGTCAACTCTGCAGGCAAGTGAATGCAAGAGCTGTAGAGATGTGGCCACCTCCATCTAGATTTCAAAGAAAGCCCTGGAGAGCCTCAGGGCTGATGCAGAAAACTGTCACAGGGGTAGGGATACCACAGAACCCTCACTGAGGCAATGCCTGGAGGAGCTATGGGGACAGGGTAGCCCCTAAGACCTCAGGCTGGTAAAGCCACCAGCATGCAACTTCTGCCTTGGGAGCACGGCAGGCACCTGACTCCAACGCTTGAGAGTAGCAGTGTGGACTGTGCCCAATAAAGACGTGGGGTACAGATACCTAGAGTCTTGGGAGCCCAACCTCCATCCCAGGAATCCAGAAGGTGAGAGACATCAAGTCAAAGATTCTTCTCAAGTCTTAGGATTTGATGTTGTTTGCCCTGTTGGGTTCGGACCATCACACCTTTCTTCTTCACTGCTCCTTCCTTTGAAATAGGAATGTTTATTCTACGTATGTCCCACTACTGTATTTAGAAGCACATAACTCATCTGACTTCATAGGCTCACAGCTAGAGAACCTGCTTCAGGATGCATTGTACCTTGAATCTCACCCACACCTGATTTAGATGATGATATTCAGACCAGACTCCGGACTTAGGACTTTTGTGTTGATGTTGACAAGAGGTAAGACTTTTGGGAATACTGGGATGAAGTAAATGTATTTTGCTTGTGAGAAGGACATGAATTTTAGGGGGTTGGGGTGGAATGCTATGATCTGAATATCTGTGCCCCCCACCAAATTTATATGTTGAAACCTAATTCCCAATGCAATAGTATTAAGAGGTGGGGTCTTTAGAAGGTGAGGTCATGAGGGCAGAGCACTCATGAATGGGATTAGTGCCCTTATAAAAGAATCCCAGGAAGCTTATTCACTCCTTCTGTCATGTGTTGACACAGCAAGAAGGTGCCACATATGAGGAAGGTGGTCCTCACTAGACACTGAACCTGCCAGCAGCTTGATCTGGGATTTCTCAGCCTCCAGAACTGAGAGCAATAAATGTATACTGTTTGTAAATTACCCCAGCCTAAGGTATTTTATTATAGCAGCCTGAACAAACTAAGACTAGCTGGTAAGAAAAGGTAGAGTTTAAGGAAAGATAACCTTGATTTTAGACAGATAGTTTTAAATAGGGCTAGAACCTAGCCATGAGTGAGAGATAATTATACGGGAGTTATCAGAACAGCAGGGACAGTGGAAACACTGGGAGCCTATCCTTAGAAGAGTGTAGAGAGAACAGAGAAGACTCCAGGGACAGCCCAGGTCTCAAAGGCTAGAAAGGAGGAAGAGTAGCAAGGTTAATGGAAGACCTGCGGTCTTCAGTGATGGCGGTTATGGAAACAGCATCATTTCTCCACTTATTAGTGCAAAGTGGTCCATTTCCTCAGTATAGATTTTAGACTAAACCTAAAGAATCCATATTTAAAGATACCTGTAAAAAAGTCTACACAGTAGACACTGTCAAGAAAGCATTACAAAAGGGTTATTGGGTCTTTAGGAATCAAGGTTGGTACTAGGTTGCAGACCCGCGGGAATGCTTTTCATGTAATGCACTGAGCTCTAAGTCAGCAATTTGCAGTTGCAATGCCTTTTTTAACCAGAAGAAATTATTAATGGGAAAAGCAAGTTTCCAACATCCCTATTCTTCCCACAGGACGCCTTCCACATGACAATGTTGAAATATGTAATTATTTAGAAAATGGATAAAAACCACATTATTACTGTTTGGTACACAATTTTTTTCAGTGATGTTGAAAACTATCTTTCTGGATAAGAATTGACATCACTTGGATAGTGGAGAAAATAAAAGTCAGATACAATACGATCAATCAAAACAGCATTTCTGCTCACACTGAAAACAGTCAATGCAGCAGAAGTATGTGCCTTCTGGCTGGAGTTCCCAGACACAAGGGGTAAGACCAGTACCCACAGCAGAAAAATGATCTTTCAGTGCTCAAAGCCATTTGTGACCTGGTACAACCCAGTCTCAAGTACTCAGTCTCTAAATGCAGAAACCACTAAGAATGTAAGAACTTTCTGGAACGAATTGTTCATTGTAAACTTAACAGAGTCTGCTGGCTTGCATTTATTTTAAATATATACTAACGTGCCTAGTATCCCTTTAACGCCTGTCCTCTCATCTTCTCTCTTTAAAGGAAAAATGATAATGGCCTAGTAAACAGAGCAGACAGACAGCTGTGCACTACTGCGTATTCATCTTTATAAAATCTTCACACTTGACACAGACCCAAGTCTCATTTTAGATGCCTGGAAATAGAATCAAGAGTGAATTCTAGCATTCTGGGTGGCTAGGCTGGAAGTACACACGGCAGTTTGCAGCAGGGCTGGTGGGACCAGGGTCAGGAAAGGCTCTGTCCTTACCTCTCGCACCCTTCATCCAGGTCTTGGCAGTCACACAAACAAGCAGCCACGTGGTTCTTTTGCCCATTCTGATCTATGTACTCGCAGCAGCACAGGGGCTCCAACTCGGGTTCTTCGCTTTTCTTTTTCGTCACTGGCTTCATGCTGCCCTTCTGTGTCATGATGTGCACCTGTCACCATGAGGCGTAAGAAGCCCTCAGAAGGTAAAGGTGAAAAGAGCACAACTTACATCTGGTAAACACATCCACGCCTCTCTCTGATCAACCACCCACGCCTGAGCAATCAAAGACGAAAAGAAAGAGGGGGAGGGGGTCCCGTTTTCATCAAGCTTTCACGGCTCCGCGTGGCCAGACAGGGGGCTCCAGGTGTCCTGGGGCTCCAAGCTGCCTTCGCCGCCCCC